CTGTTTCATAAGACAAGCCCCCTTTTCTGATAGCGCCTAACTCAGAGAAAGCTCTGTTTACTTGAAAAGACCAGTGGACCAGTTGTCACCAAGTTGACTCCAACTCACAGTGAACTCAAGTGTGTCACACACACAGCAGAACTATGGTTTTCAGAGGCTGCCTTTTTGGAAGTAGATTAGCAGGTCTTTCTTCCAAAGCACCTCTAGGAAGACTTGAACCACCAACTTTTCAGTTAAGCATACTGGCCAGGGATTACCTGTACCATCCTGTTCATGTGACCCACCCCAAATCACCTGGCAAAGGCCCAGATCTTCTTGCTGAAAAGGCCCTTGGCCCCCACACCCAACTCCTTTGGTATTGCAGCAAATAATAAATCCCACTGTATTTACCTGCAGATGTGTCTCCAGTGGCCTTGCACTGGTGAACATCGACAGTGCTGCCTCACTGACCACCTGACCTGCATTCCTAGGGAACATGCTGATTGCATCCTCATTTGTGCAAAAGGGACTTAAGGTGCATGCTATGATGAATAAGACTGTCCAAGGCCATGTGCATATGAATGGGATAGTCCAGGGTGGAGAGGAGAAAATTGAACTTGATTGTTGTTTAAAAATGGATTATATATTTAGGGTTATAGGGTTAGTTTACTGTACTGTGGAAATTGATTTCTCCTACGTAGTATTATAAAATAGACGTAAGTATGTGGTAGAAATCAATGTTGGGAATTATAGGAGAGTACCAAGAGTCAATGAAAGGAAAGATGTAGAAAACAACTATTTAACTCATATTTAGAATTTTCGAGACCAATAAATTTTTTTAGATTTTAATTTTAGGACTAATTTTTAAGATTAATAAAAGAATATGATGCTTTTGTTTTTATTATTATTAAAAGAACATTTTATCAGGGGCTCTTACAGCTCTTATAACAATCTATATATCAATTGTATCAAGCATATTTGTACATATGTTTATGATGCTTTCTTAAACAGCATTTCTCAAACCCGAATGTGTACACAACACCCCCTGCCACTCCCCACTTCCCCAACGCACACAGCATCTTGCTGGAAGGAAAGTTCCAAATCAGTGGGTCTGAGTACAGGGGCTGAGGCGTCTGCATGCCTAATCAGCTTCAAGAGGATGCCATTTCAGTGATATTAAAGTAGGGTCCAACGATGTTGATTATATCCTAATGTAGAAGAATCTTGTAATAGATTTTAAGATTTAAAATATGTATACAATGATATGTATACCTTTCAATTAGAAAGGAAAATGAATGAAAATCAACTATCTCAAAAGCTATTTCAGACAAAGAAAATGAAAGTGTAGGGAAAATGTACTGAAGGTTTTTATAGCAGCCTTGGTTACGATGTGAGGGAGCAAGAGCCTGAATTGGTAAGGGGACAAAAATATCCTCGTGAGGTTAGAAAGGTGACTTTCCTGCCTCTCAGATGCTCCTTGGAAGAATTCAAAAATGTCTTCTAATTGCATTTTGGGTCTTCTCTATCTTGAGTATAAAAAATTAAGATAAAAAAAACCAAAAAGTTCAAACAACCCTCGGCCCTGGCCCACTAATTCTCAATCATATCTGAGGAGCTGAAAACCATTAAGGCAGGGCTGTTTCCCTACAAGCTCACTTACTCGACTTGAGGCCTGGCCTGAACACATGTCCCAGGTTATGCCAAAGGAAGCCTGCAGGGAGAACTGATGTCCTTGCAAAACGGAACAGAATCTAACTGGTTGACCAGTCCACTGAACAAGCCAAACACTATCTCCAAGAAAAGGGACAACATTCAATTTATGTTTTAATTTGGATCTTCTTCAGCTTATTTTCACATATATCATATGAAGCCAAAAAAAAACAAAACCTACCAACTAATTGATTCTGATGTAGAGCAACCTCATATAGAGTCTCTGAGGCTGTAGATCTTTATCGGAGTGGATGGCCCAAATATAGTATGTATCACACAATGCTAGAAATATGAGGGTCAAATTTCATCCTTCATTATACCTCACATTTAGCCTTCTTCATATGAGCATCATGATGAGACTGGAGCATGTAACTAGTTTACACATTGGGCTTAACAGTTCAAACCCATCAATCACTCCTCATCAGAAAGATGAGGCCGTCTACTCCCACCATGACTTAGTTTTGGAAACCCCAGGGAGCAGTTCTATTCTGTCCTATAAAGTCACCAAATTGGAATCAGCTCTATCCCATTGGGTTTTTGTGTGTAATTGGAATAATGTTTTGCATTCAAATCCTCATTTTTTTAAAGAGCCCTTTCAAAAAGCTTCTATCCTTTCCAAAAGATTTTTAAAATCATTTTATTTGTTTTTTGGGGGGGTTGACAATATATACAGCTGAAGTATACACCAATTCATGTTTCCACATATGCATTTCAGTGACTGATTACATTCATCAAGTTATGCAACCATTCTCTTAGCCCTCCCCTTTTCTGAACACAAACTCACTGCCTCCTGAAGTTTCTATCGAATCGCTTTTGTCGCTGTCAATTTGATCGCTTCTGGAGAGACAACTCTAAGAGGAGCCTAGTGCTCAAGGCAGGGGTTCTTTCCTAGCCAGGCTCAGCTCTTGACTTTCCAGGGTTTTCGCAACACAGACTCAGTTAGCAGAACCTAGTCTTGAAAATACGCTCATAATTGTCTGAGGCTCTCTATATTCAAAATTTCTGGTCAAATAGGGAGCGATAAAACTAATGTTTTAATGTACAAAAGATTTGAACACACTTTCCTACAAAGAAAGTATAAAGATGGCAAATAGCACATGTGAAGCACCATCGATCCCATATCAGCAATGGCATGAAAATTAAAGCACTATATGAAGTACAACGTGCCTATTAGAATAATCAGGAGATAGAGGGGGGAAAAACCTGACATACCAAATGCAGAGCAACAAAATCTCTCCCACAGAGATCTTGGGCATGCAACAATAATATATCGGCACTGATGTTTCTTATAAAGTATACAAGGAAGAGCCAGTTACCATTAAGTGAAGCAATTCACATAAAGAAGTCACATAATTCTCAAAAGGAAATGCCAAAGAAAATAGTCCAGCACAGTTTATGTCACCAGATGTCTAGGTATCGTAATATGAGTTCCAAAAATAAAAAGCACGTGTTTAAAAAAAAAACAAAAGTGTGAATACAAATTTGTATTCAGATTTGGGTACAAAGTGGGAAGAGGGACAAGGCAGCTCCCCTACCAGTCCTGCCTAACACCTTTCTCCAGGTCTCTGCCCAAGGTAAGCAGATCCCAGGAGGCACAGGAAAAACTATCTCCAGATACAATTCCCCTCCAGGCACAATATCTCCAGATAGAATTTTCCATGCACAGTGGCTCAAATTCCTACCTTAGCCATCCCACTCATGGAAGTAGACGGCGGAGGAGTCAGCTGCATGGTCTGCTGCAGGATGCTTACGTAGGTCTGGATTTCCAGGAGATTCTGTTGGGGGATGGAAAGCATTCTCCATGAAACTTGAGTTTCCTGAATTTCCCCCTCACACTAGGTAAACCCAAGGACAAATACTTCCACACGCTCTTCCGTGTGGCAGACTGCACAAATTGCCAATGACGAAGGGAACACCTGCCGCCATCTGGCCCCACTCATCACATCTTGCCTCTGCAGTAGACACCTCACATCTCATTGAACCCTCCCAGGAAGATCAGGCAGATGAACAAACTGAGACTTGGTCTGTGTTGAAGTCCCTGAGTGGCATATGGGGCTATGGATTGAGCTTCTAACCACAGGGTAGGCAGTTCTAATTGACCAAGCCCTACTTAGGAAAAAGACAAGGCTGTTTGCTCCTGTAAAGATGTAAAGTCTCGGAAACTCAAAGGGGCAGTTCTATTTTGTTTTATTGGTTCTCTGGAGTGGTGCAAATGTTGCAAATTAATGTGGTGCAAATAAATGTGCTCAGCCATTAAAGGTTAGTGGTTCAAGTTCATACAGTCATTGAAAACCGTATGCTGTATCTCTGACACACAAGGGGTCACCATGATTTGGAATAGACTATGACAACTGGTGGTATATCCCATCAGTCACTGATTGAGGGTGCAGTAATTCTGCCCCCATGTCCCCAGTGAAAGGACCCTGGCGGTTCTATGGTTAGTGATTAGGCTGCCAGCCACTCCACAATAAAAATTCATGCCTATCTGCTCCCAGAGAGAACACAGTCTCAGAGGCCCTGTACAGGCTCAATCAACTCAATGGCACTGGGTTATGTTAATTATAGCTCCCAATACCACCTCCCAACACATATGTACACATATATGTGCATAGATGTGTGTACACACAAGGAGTTTGCCGACTCCTCGATGTATATTGTGCTAATTAAATGGTATCCAGGGTTCAACTCATCATCAATTTGATTCGAGGGACAATACATTCCAAAAGGACAGTGTTCTCCCTGTGCGGTCTCATTGTTCATCCTGCATGGTCTGCACTTGGCAACCCAAACCCAAACAACATTCTGGTTTTCTTCAGAAGAATCGTGATTACCTTTTTGTACCTGTCCTTTGTTGAACGGATATCATCCTGTAGAAACTGGGCTTCAATTTGAAGGTGCAAGTTATTTAGTAAAGCTTCATCTGCTTCCTGTGATAAGAAAGAAAATCACAGACTCAACCTTGAAAGGTACTACAAAGCCAGCATCTGCATAGGGGTGAGCACACAACCCAGGTGTGAGCACACAACCTACCTGGGGTCATTTCTAGCAAGGTATTGGCTGTGTCTGTTGGATCCAACGTAATATAGTTCTCAAATAGTGGTGGGGTTGCCCCCAGTGGGTGTTTGGCCATATCTGGAAACAATTTTATGCCTTGGGAAATGGGCTACAAATGCTTATCTAGTGACTAGAGGCCAAGGCTATTGCTTAACCTTTTATCATACTCAGAATATTCCTCCTACAACAAGAAGAAAAAAATATATATATATACACACACACACACACACACACACACACACACTAGTTTTTATGACACCACGCACATACCAAAATTCACATAAAACTTATATATCTTATTCTATCTTGCAAGACTGGCTAGACCAGAGGAGGTACACAGGTACAGATAGGAACTGAAAATACAGGGAATCCAGGACGGATGAGCCCTATAGGACCAGTGGTGTGAGTGGCAAAACAGGGAGGGTAAAGGGAGAATGGGTAGGAAAGAGGGAACCGATTACATGGAACTGTGTGTGACCTCCTCCCTGGGGGACAGACAACCAAAAAGTGGATGAAGGGAGACGTCGGACAGGGCAAGATATGACAAAATACCCATTTATAAACTATCAAGGGCTCATGCGGGAGGGGGGAGTGGGGAGGGAGGGGGAAAAAGAGGACCTAATGTCGGGGGTTTAAATGGAGAGAAAATGTTTTGAGAAACGATGTACAAATGCGCTTTACACAATTGATGTGTGTATGGATTGGGATAACAGTTGTATGAGCCCCTAATAAAATGTTAAAAAAAATAAATATGAAAAAAAAAACAAACTTATATATCTTAAATTTTAAGTAACATCTGTATTTTTCTATATCTCATCATTAGTGAGGTCCATTTCTAAGACAGTTTCCTAAGCAGAAAAAATACTTCCCTTTGTACTAAAACTTTAATTTTCAGTTTTCTCCCAAGAACTGCTGACCTTAACCATGAGACTATGGATCTTTTAATGCAAATGTGCATTTTTAGGATAACTGCTTTGAAAAATAGCATTTGGTCATTTAAAGTCATACATTACTTTTAAATAGAAAGTTGAGTTTTCTTACTAAACTTTTTTAAATTCTAATAAATTGCTTATGTAACAAACTCACCAAACTGATCATTCATTCACTTTTATCTCATTCACCTTGCTTGAATAAATGAAATTGATACAAACGAATTGTTTGTTCTCTTAATAAGTCAGTACTCTAATTCCATGTTTGCTATGATATTACTAGTGGAGCACACTTGGACTCATCAACACTGTTCACTCTCCAGAATCAGCTTTACTATCCACACCTGCCAATACCTGAAGCTTTGCTAATTAGTCTACCTGGTACTAAAAATCCGTCTCGCTTTTACTAACTCACTAATGATTTGTTAAATAAGCATGATGAAATGAGTTTTTGTTGATAAAGATAGATATGTTATTTGGCTAAAATACTTGGCGCATTCCCATCCTTGGGTGAATGAAAATAAGACAGTCAAGGTAAATAGTTGGCCAAGATCTCTTCCTACCCTTGCACTAATACAGTTAAAATTCCAAGGAGACCTATGACCAGTATTCTTGAAAGGTTCTTGACAGCTTAATTGATTGATTCCTGTTAAGAACCTATGGAGTAGGAAAGTTTTTGAATGCTTGAGGTTGACTAGAAGGATATCAGGAATTTTAACTCTGGAATACTATAACATCTGCTTTGAGTGAACTTTTCAAGCAAAGTATTGCCTTGGCACCTATAAAAACAAGATCTGGGACTTCATAGAGCCTACAGAATAGGTTGCATGAACTTTTGGGACCCTACATCCGAAACACACAGAAAAAGAAAGAAAAAGTTCATTTAATAACTATCCATATGTGTAAATTTGGGTGAAATCTTTAGCATGATTGAAGGAGAATAATTAATTTTCACTTACCTCAAACTTTTAAAGCTACTTTACCTACCCACAAGAATCTCAGAGTTGTTTAAGATCAAATTGGCTCAGGAGTCAAAGCAGAACCATTAAGAAATGTATCTTAAAGCATTCTTTTTTGCATAAGATTCATGCAAATAGAAATGAAATAAGATATTCTAATATAGTAATGTCTAACAGAAGTATAATGACAACCTCAGACGTCTTTTAAATTTTCTCATTGATATAGGAGTCAAGATGGCGTCCAGGTAGAATCACCTGCCGGGCGCTCCTGCTGTTAGAGCAGAAAATTAAGAGGTAAGGAGGCCAATACTGGGAGGCTGGGTGCTAAAAATAGTTTCAGTGTACTAGGGTCTGGTTCAGACCATCCCCTGTGATTTTTACCCACACCGCGATCTGAGAACTTGCTAGAATGCTGTAAATTCACTTTGTCTGCCTGCGGCGGGCTCTGCTAATCCCTTGTCAGGTCCAGCAGTAATTTCCCCAGGCTGCCGTCTAAAAGTGCTCATAATCCCAGGTTCACAGAGAACTTCCGAGAGCTAGCCACAAGACCTCACACTGGAGTTCCCCTCACTGCTCTCCACCCTGCGTCTGCAGTCTACGACCTTGCAACTCCCTTCCCCAGTCAGGAATGGAGTGACTACATTGGCTATCCCCTTTCCACCTCTCCCCAGCTCCACGTCTGCCAGGGTGGGTAATGATAGATAATTAGACAATAATTTGCAGCAATTGAAGAACTGCTGCAATATTTACCTGTGACAGAACACAGTTTCTGATAGCACAACTGGATAGAGCCAGGAGTGACACAGGAGTGCAGCCGGGATTGCATTCAGATCCAGTAGGCCCCAAACCCACTCTACTAAGCTTGCCCCCCTCCCCTGGGAGACAACACAGCACAGCCCAATACAAGGGCACCCCACAAGCCCATTATAAAAAGGAAAAAAGAAAAAAATTTTAAACAAGTTCAATTCCAAGCTGTGGTCTTTTGTGTAACTTTGAATGTAATCCTGCAGAACTCTGTCCATTAACATAACAAGTTAGCCAGAAGCTAATCTCCAGAGCACAGCCTAGGATTTTAGCATAACAAAACGGGGAAAGCCAACAGGTGCCAATAGCCACAGCCCAAGGTAAAAACTGGTTCTACCAGTTTCAGATCCACAGAGTTTCTTTAAATGGCTGCAAATTGTGACCTGAAAATCCAGACCAGGCCTGTGCCCACTCTGCAGCCCTGCCCCAACCCGCCAGTGACATACCTACAGTCACCTGTAGGCCCAGACTCTGAGCCCCCACCTCCCACCTGCCACTGAGTCACTGCAGCACCCTGCCTACATAACAGTTCAACCCACCACCATAATAGGCCACAGGTGGTCCTCCAAAACACCCACCAACAGACTAGAAGAGATAGAGAATCATACCAGCAATCTTGAGGACAGTCAGGCAGACTTCAACAAATGGGAAAGACAGTCAAACAAGATAATCAGAGGTGGAAGAAAACCTGAAATCAATGGCCGATGCTGTGAAGAAGAACCAGATTCTAATAATTGATCTACCAGAGCAAGACACAATGAAGAAGTCAACAGCTAAATTAGCGAGGGAATTTCTGGAAGCAAACTTCCCCACCTTAATAAATGAGAATCAGATACTCATACAGGAAGCAGAGAGAATTAGACTAAATTTTCTAAAGAGAATTAGAGAATTAAAGAAGCAGAGAGAATTAGACTAAAATTTTCTCATTGGATCAGTTATCAGGCACCAAAGCACAAAAAATCATATCATTGCGTGCTCACCTCCACGTTATGATCACTGAAGACAAATGGGTACATAAGCAAATGTGGTGAAGAAAGCTGATGGTGTCCGCTATCAAAAGATATAGCATCTGGGGTCTTACAGGCTTGAAGGTAAACAAGTGGCCATCGAGCTCTGAAGCAACAAAGCCCACATGGAAGAAGCACACCAGTCTGTGTAATCACGAGGTGTAGAAGGGATGAGGTATCAGGCATCATCAGAACAAAAAAATCATATCATTGTGAATGAAGGGGAGCGCAGAGTGAGGACCCAAAACCCATCTGTAGGAAACTGGACATCCCCTTACTGAAGGGTCGTGGGGAGGAGAGAAGCCAGTCAGGGTACAGTGTAGCAACAATGAAACATACAACTTTTCTCTAGTTCCTAAATGCTTCCTCCCCACCCACTATCATGACCCCAATTCTACCTTACAAATCTGGCTAGACCAGAGGATTTACACTTGTACAGATAGGAACTGGAAACACAGGGAATCCAGGACGGATGATTCCTTCAGGACTAGTGGTGAGAGTGGCAATACCGGGAGAGTTGAGGGAGGGTGAGGTAGTGAGGGGGATTACAGGGATCTACATATAACCTCCTCCCTGGAGGACAGACAACAGAAAAGTGGGTAAAGGGAGACGTAAGATATGACAAAATAATAATTTATAAATTATCAAGGGTTTATGAGGGAGGGGCCATGAGGGAGGGAGTGGGGAAAAGGAGGAGCTGATGCTAGGGGCTCAAGTGGAGAGCAAATGTTTTGAGGATGATGAGGGTAAGGAATGCACAAATGTGCTTTACACAATTGATGTATATATGGATTGTGCTGAGTTCTATGAGCCCCCAATAAAATGATTTAATGTTTTTTCTCATCACCACGTTAAGTAAACAAAAGAGAAATTGATGTTCATTTTAATAAAATATTCTATCTCACCCAATATATAACAAATATTATTGTATCATGTAATCAATATATTTAAGTTATTGATGAGGTGTTTCCCATTCTTTACACTAGTTCTTTGACAGTGGATATGTGTTTTACGAGTACAGCACATTCATTCCAACTCTCCCCAGAATCCGAGGCGGGTGGGAAGAGGAATGAAGAGACTGATCCAGCCCTCTGGATATTTTTGAGCCTTCCCTCTGCTTCTCTTAAGACTTGGAAGGTGGGAGTGGGGCAAAGGAGTCCCAGTCTCTTAATTT